ATCACTTTTGCGGCATCGTTTCTCGTCACAGTGCCATATTTTTAACTTTTTATCATTGTTATCCATTAACGGTAAAACATTTATCACTCCATGAGAAGAGGATTGTCCTATTATAAGTGGTTGCTCAAACTTTTTCCTTTGCTCGTAAGCAGTTTCAAAAAAGTATGCTTCAGAAGACGAAGTATGTTTGGATGAGCCACAAAGAGCTCTAATTCGATCGCTTTTTGGATATTTCAAAGTCTTACATTCATTGAATCGCAATAGTGCGGTTTCAGCAGCATTTTTCAAATACAAAAACACTTTTCTTGCGGCATTGACGTACGATTTTTTTGCTATCATTAAATTGAAACGTCTAAATGCCATCCTAATTTTTTTAAATAAATCGATTTCTCGCAATATTTGATGTAAAAAGTTATAAAGATAGAATCTCGTTAAATATTCATTTTTCGATTATTTTATCTCAATACTTTTATGCACAAAATGATGAGAGGAATCAATGTTTAAAAAAAATATGTTATTGCTTGTTGCAAATTATCATACTTTTTCTTAAAAATAACTGTGTTTTTTATATACCAATTGATTCCTCTTATTATTTTGTGCAGAAGAGTATATAGATAAGATAATTGAAAAATGATTATATTACGAAATATTTCATACTTTGTAACGGTGCGTATTTTTACGCCTCACGGGCGGTGCGTAACGATGCGGAATTTCGACGGTGCGTAGGTAGCAAAGCGGATTTTTACGATGCGGGATTACGACGGTGCGTAGTTAGCAAAGCGGATTCTTACGACGCGGAATAACTCGCCGGTTCGCCAGAATTCGTTCGTGTGATTTTTCGGAAGACTCCAAATTAGCAAAAACAAATTAAAGTAACAAAATAAATATTTATTCAAGAGAGCAATTGGATCAATGATATAATTATAAAAGAAAGGTATAAACATTTAACAATGAGTACATAAGTAATTCCTTATCGGATAGACGATTTAATGTTTCAACGGTATAAATGGGTATAATTCTAACTGTGAACGAATAAACAACTATCGGAATTAATCGGATAATAAATAAACTGCGTAAATCGTTGGTGCGCCTTTGGCCGAATAATAAACAACTTAAATTATTTAATTTTAAACTAATCGTCGGTCGGTTCGTACGGTACAGAGTCAAAATACTAAAAAATAAGCGATACCGCGTATATCCGAGCCCTGCTGAGTCGTCGATGGTTGCCGGTGCGCTGTGTCCAAAGACAGAGAGTCTTCTCTCGTGCGAGGGATATAGGAAGTCGAACGCCGGGAACACCCGACCGAGGCAGAGAACGCCCTGCCCCTAGAACGATGGGAAGTCGGACGCCGGGAACACCCGACCAAGGCAGAGAACGCCCTGGCCCCTAGAACGACGAGGTATAGGAAGTCGAACGCCGGGAACACCCGACCAAAGCAGAGAACGCCCTGCTCCTAGAACGACTATCGGGATGGGAGCGAGTACGACCGGAGCTTCAGAGTGCGCCCTGAGGCTTATCCGAGTCGTACTCGGGGGAATGGTATCGGTCTGCTCCGCGAGCCGGTTTTTATACCGGTCGCGCTATCCCCACTTGAGGTGCTACCCTACTCGGCAGCTACCCCTTCTCGAGCTACTACTCGAGTTGGGGGATCGGAATGCGGCCCGTAATAAGGGTTGCTCACGTGAAGCCCGCGTGACGCTTAGTAACAGCGCGTGCGGTTACAACTTTATGTAAAATTAGGTTAAATTAAAGTATAAAAATTCTCCTAAACTATTCAATTTTTGGCCATCCTACTATTACAACTTCTTACGTCGAATATAGTGAAGAATCGATTTATAAAAAATTAGAAGAGTTCCATTTAAAAAAACTTGGTTGATCTTCAAATCTTTGAACCATCTCCACCCAAGGTGTAACTAATATCTCTATCTCTTTTTCTTTTATGAAGCAAACAACTTTTGTTTAAAACATTTCTTTTCATTTTTATTTTTTATACATGATTCTGAAAAGTTTCCTCAAACTTCAACGGCGTATTCTAGCGGTCTTGATGAAAACAATTCCTATAAACATATGTCCTGCAATGTTTCCTTTTCAAGATACAATCATTTTTAATTTTTAATGAAATTTTTAATTTTATTGGAAAGTGCAGTATTAAATACAAAAATAATCAAAGTATGAAAGATCTCAAATCTCTCGTCTTTGATTTTCTTAATTCTTAGTTTTGACTCGATGTATTCTTTTCTTAATAAAA